TTAAACACTTAAAGCTGTAAGCTAATGATAGTTATATAAGAGCAGATGCTGCTGGTGCAATAAGCTGTACGTTTTACGTCCAATGGATGATGATCTGACTAGTCGACTATCAAAATAATCGTTTGTGGCAGCCCTAACTGACAGGTCACAGGAAACCGGATACATTTATGAACCAGGTAACACTCAGCAGCTTTTCATCAGGGTGGAGCTGATGAAGCACAGCAGGATCAGTTTAAAAAGGAAGTAAGGACAGTCACATGACACACCTGTTTCACCATCACAGCATTTTAATGTCACGACGGAAACCTTCTCGCTGCCGCACAAGCTACGAACGGCAACGACGAGGTGAAGCGATCGGCGCTGCGAGTCAGAGATGTCAGGTCGGCAAACAATCACAATCACAAGACCCCAAACATCCACCCCACGTTCAAACCTCTCCTTTTTCTAACGCTTACGCTAACGTTGCTGAGACCTCTGTCCTCCACCTTCTGCTCACAAACTGTGAGGACGTTCTGTCCATAAAGTCTGAACAGCCGAACATTCAGCCAGATGTGCGGGACACAAACAGCTGGTTTAGTGACAGGTGCAGCGGGTTAACAGCAGCGCCAGATGAAGCTCGGTCATTAGTTCAAAGGCAACAATACCAAGATCGCCGCCCACTCCATACAGGTAACCATAACAACAATGGCTTTGTCTGCAGCCGGGTGGTCCGGGTAGGTGGGAGGGACGAGGGGGCGCTCAGGTCAGGAAACAGGGGAGGCAGAGGGCGAGTGAGGTAACGAGGAATGGAAAGCAAAAAAGAGAGAGAGAAGGTAAAAATAAACAGACGGGTGGAGACCTTATCTCAGTGACACAATAACATGTTTGTATGTTATCTGTGACACACACGGCCCATGATGCACAGTGAGGAATGCCAGGCAGCCTGGGAACAGCATTCCTGTGATGGGGGAAGGGAGCGTGTCCCAAAAACAGAGCTGGGATTCAAACATCGATGCACACTTTCAGCTCGTCTCTGAGCTGTGCACAAACACACCGACCTGATGAGGGCACGCGCTCGTTTACAGTCGTGAGATATGCAACCCTGACCCCCGCTCTCAGCCCCCCCCCATCATCTTTAATATTCGCAGAGGTCATCTACGTTTACAGGAGTGCAAACACAACAACCAGCAAAGCTCTGCTTACAGAATTAAATATGTGAAATCTGTCCTCAACCGTGTGTCCATGTAAACACACCTGAGTACTGACGACCGCTGCAGCCAGACAAGTACTCGAGTATCAGCTGATACTCAAAGCTTAGCAGGGTTTGCAGACAGTTCGCTGGATTCAGCTTCCTGGACCACAAACAGCTCCGTGCGTGAATCACACGGACCAACTCATCCATCGGGTTTCACACATACACTGCAGCCCCGAGCCGCGCCATCAAGCGCCGGCTCCATCTCTGACTGCACGGCGTCCCGACCCGAGTCTTCAGAAACCTACACGTCCGAGGAGCTGCACCGAGCGCTCACATCGTCTAATTCAGTGAAATCACAGGTTTGACTGAATAAAAGGAGAAACAGTTTCCGCCTCAGAGACACCCGACAGATTTACAAAATTCAGCAGATGAAGATGATCCTGGTCTGTGGATGCATGAGCCCCACTCACGCTGAGCACGCACCTCTCCCACAGGCTGACACCAGCCTTTAACCGTTACCCAGAATGCACTTTGTGAGGTTTCCTGTAGCAAACGTGACTCCGGGAGCGTAAAACTGGTGTGGTCTCAGTTTTTAAACACGTTTAATGGCTTCATTAAAGACCGGTACGACTGCAGGTGTTTGACTTACAGCAGAAAGAAAAAGTCAGTGCTTGAAGAGAATCAGCTGAGGGGGTGAGGAAGAGCGGACGAGCCCTCCTGCTGAGTGTTTTGGTTTGTGGGGAAAGGGGTGGAGCTTGGTTTGAAACCCAGTCTGGCTGGAAAAGCCTGAAGCTGATCAGGACTTGAAGCCGTTTCCTGCTGGATCGCTGCCCCCAAACCATCAGAAAGGATATGTTCTAACTCAACACGCCACCCGTCCTATCGCACGCCGCCCTCTGGGCACGTTTCACTGTCATCATTCACGTTTGGCCTCCAGTGGTTGTAAAAACACAGAGGTTAAGTCATCAGTGTGTTAGCAGTTTGTCTTCCTCAGAGACTGAAGAGACATTTGTCCCACCGAGACAATTACACAACTATGACAAAGACGAGCTCACACAACCAACACGAGATTGTTCCCAGAAACAAACAGTCCAACGTTTAATCTGACAGACTGCAGCGACGGGATTAATCCCAGTCTGTTTCATGTTTCTGATCATGTGACTCGATCAAGATAAACAATCAATAACAATCCTGATAATAGCCCCTCCCACCCGCTGTTCTCAGAACTTTATGAGTGTGTTTGAGTTTTGTCACAGACACACACACACACACACACACACACACACACACACACACACACACACACACAC